GAGTAAGATAAAGAAAATGGAGCCCATTATTGAGAATGGAGTCCAGGAAACCCGAACAGCACCTGGGGAAATTGAAATGTTAATGTCCCCAAGGCCCAGAACCCATCCTAAGGAACTGTTAATGAAGTAGCTCCCAACAAACAGGGAGGTGCTAATCAAAACCCCAGGCCCTTCCTGCCCAGATTACTCCTCCAGTCCACCTATCTCCCGCCATCTGGCCTTCCCACCTGCATTCTATCACTGCAGGATAGAGAGAAACAAAGGACAGGAATGTGGGAGGACTAAAAGAAGACCTTAGCTATAAAAAAGGGAAGACCTCCCCCTTCCATGGATTCCCCCTTTTGGGTCCCCTTCTTCCTCTGAGAGGAAGTCCTTTCTGCTGTCCTTTAATAAAGTCTTCCACTCTCCACTCTCCACTTGCCTCAGTGTGCTTCTCTGGTGTTAAAACTCAGCATTTGGGGAAGCAAGGACTCATCACCAGCAAACAGTGGTAACAGATTGGAGGTTCCACCGAGATCTACACCGAGGTAAACTTCTTTCCATGCACCCCACGTATGTCTGAGGTGCATCTTTCTCTCTTTCTGGAGGATGATATGGGCACCCCATGGCTATTTAAATACAACTAGTGCTGCCACCAGCCACTCTTCAAGACTCAGGTGAGAGGTTTCTTGGCCTAGGCAGCTCTCAATCACCTGTTCGATGCAAAGCAGGCATGTTGGGATCTGCCAAAGCAGCTTCCCACTTTTCTGTCTGGGCCCGGAGAGCAGCTGGCGTGAGTAATACAGTGTGCCTAATACCGACCTGTCTTGGATGAGCCGAGGTGAAGGAAGGAGTTTGGGACAACTGCAGAATTCTGGTCTGGGCTACACTCAGACATGTTCCCAAGGTTCCTTTCTCTTGAGCCCCCTCCCGACAGCCCTAAGGGGTATCTAGAGTGATCGGTAGATGAATGGCACTGAGGGAAAGCCCCAAGTACATTTGCCTCCGTGTGGGCTACACAATACTCCCAACCCCGCATCCATTCCCTCCTGGATGCTCCCATTCCTTCACTGGTCAGAAACACTGGAAATTCAGGTTGTAGGACTGAGAGAAAGACATGGGATAATTAGTAACAAGTGCCCAGGTTCCCTCATGTGAATAGTCAACTTTCACTAGTCTATTTTAAAATTTCCCCATTACCATTCTGATACTTAAAATGTGCTGTGTTCTCTTTAAGCTGCCAGAGGAAGGCATTTTAAAATCAACCTTTCCAAGAGTCCCTCTGATAGAAAGTGCTATATGCCTTACAACCAGTAGATATTCCTCACCTCAGGAGATTCCTTTAGTCTACGGGGCAAAAAGGCAACAAGAAGAGTGTGCGATTCTCTTTTGTTGTGGGTTTTATAGTGGCAGGAAGGAAAGCAGTAATGCCCTTAAGTCTGAATCCTCCCAGGGTCAGGCACAGGGCAAACTGGGACCCTAGCACTTTGCCAAAGGGGACCAGAAACAACCTTGGCAAAGCAAGATGAGAGACGGTGTTTTCTGGATGCTAAAGAAGCTAAAACTTAGGGAGATGTCCCTAATAAGAACATTTTTTTTTTCTGGCATGGGCACCTGAGTCCTGTTTTTTCTCTTCTCACCCAGATGGGAGCTTCTCTCCCCAGGGTGCTAGGTGCACCACTTACCTGCATATTGAAAAATTGGGATAAGTTTGACCCACAGATGCTCAAGAAAAAGTGCCTCATTTTCTTCTGCCACCAGGTCTGGCTTTGCTGAGAGCCACGGCTGAGTCTGTATGGCCCCTGGCATTTTGCCAACAGTATTGATTGACAGGCGAGGCATTACTATCCGCCTCTGCCGCAACTTTTGAGTTCTCGCACTATTTTGGAGTTCTCGTGGGGATTTCCGGGGATTCCCCGAGAGTTCCCATTGGTTGGGGAAATGCAGGAGGAGGGATTTCCGGGAGAGATTTTCCGGCTGGGGGTTCCTGGACAAGCCTCGTGGCGCGTTCGGGATGATTCCCCGGGAGCTGTGTGAAGTGTTTTCCTGCAGTTTAAAAATAAAGTTTGTTCCTGCTTCAGTGGCTCGTGATTTGTGCCCAGCCAGACTGCGGCATGGCTTCAATACAAACTCCCTGATGGATAAACCTGGCCACCAAAGGGAAATATCAATTTTAATATAATTTTACAGCTCAATAAATTTTGCAAAAGGGAAGGGAAATGGTGGGAGGTGCCATATGTCCAGGTTTTCTTTGCCCTAAGGGAAAACCCCAAATTATGCCAACAATGTAAAGTAGACTTAGTTATGATATCTGCCATAAGGGAGAAAATCTTAAGGAATCTCCTACTGAGGAGAAAGAATCAAGAGGACCCACAAAATCTCCATCCCCTGTTGTCGTGCAACAGTGGCCCTTCTGTCACCCATATCCTGGCCTCTCTCCATCTGCCCCAATAGATGAAATATATTACCCCTCAAAGAGATGACAGGAGGAGAATTTGGACCAATCAAAGTACATACCCCCTTTTCCCTTCAAGACCTAAGACAGATAAAAACAGACTTAGGGAAATTTTCAGAGGATCCGGATAAATATATTGAGGTACTTCAAAACTTATGCCAGGTATTTGACCTCACCTGGAAAGATATTATGCTATTACTCAACCAGACTTTGACCTCCAATGAGAAGCAGCCCCAAGAGCAGCAATGAGAAAACACATCACTGTGGATTCTGAATCCATAGAGGGCCACCTACTTTTAAATGACAAATTTATTACTCAGCCAGCCCCAGACATTTGGAGGAAGTTACAAAAATTGGCATATGGCCCTGATCAATCTTTAGATGACATTCTCTGAGTTGCTACTTCCACTTTTTTATAATAGAGATCAACAGGAAAAGAAGGAGAAAGAGTGCAGAGACAGAAAAAGGACTAAAGCACTGGTATTTGCTCTTAGAGGAGTAGGTTCCCAGGGTGAAAAAGGAGGAAGATGAAATGCTCCTCAGTCCACAAAAGGGACTTGTTTCCATGGCAGAGAGGAAGGACATTTCAAACAGGATTGCCCACAAGCCAAGTGACCACCCCAAAATCCCTGCCCTAAATGTCTAAGCAGTCACTGGAAGAGTGACTGTCCTCAGGGGCGAATGTCCTTGAAGCCAGACTCCTCCACACAGACCTGACAGGGGCCCAGGCTCAATTCTGGCTCCCAAAACTCCTATCACTGTACATGAGCCCCAGGTGTGCTTCACTGTAGGGAGCCAAGAGGTCAACTTCCTCTTAGATACTGGCACCAGTTATTCTGTACCAGTTATTCTTACCCCGGACTTCTTTCCTCTAATACTATAACTGTACAAGCAGTGTCTGGATGGCCTATTACCAGAAAGTTTACTCCCCCACTGAGTTGTGAGTGGGACGAGATGATGTTTTCTCGTGCATTTTTGATTAATACAGAATGTCCTACCCCTTTATTGGGAAGAGACTTACTATCAAAACTTCAGACATTCATTACAATGAATTTGGGAACACGAGGACCATTATGTTTCAATATAAACCCTGAAGTGTGGGCTACTGAAGGCAAAATTGGAAGGGCACCCATTTTAGGAATTCAAAAACCCAATGGGGAATGGCGACTAGTCCAGGACCTGAGAATAATTAATGAAGCAGTTGTTCCTCTCCACCCCATAGTTCCTAATCCATACACTCTGTTATCTGAGATTCCAGCAGACACTGCTTGGTTTACTATGTCAGACTTTAAAAATGCCTTTTTCTGTAAACCCTTAGACTCCCAATCACAATATCTGTTTGCCTTTGAGGAACCAAATAGCAGATCTCAATTAACCTGGACAGTATTGCCCCAAGGATTCAGAAAATAACTCTCATCTGTTTGGCCAAACCCTAGCTAAGGACTTAACAGAATTCAGAGATAAACATCTTTGACTGTCCTGCAATATGTAGATGACATACTTTTATGTGCCTCCACTCAAAAGGAATATCAAGAAGCCACTAAAGAGCTTTGAAACTTCTTAGCTGATAAGGGTTATAAAGTCTCAAAGAAAAAAGCTCAATTGTGCCAAAAACAAGTTCAATATTTAGGATTATGACTGTCTCAAGGAACCCACAATCTAGGACCAGAAAGAATAACCCCTATAGGTCAATAACCTCTACCTCAAGCTATAAGGCAACTTAGAGGCCTCCTAGGCTGGGGGGTCATCTGGCATCCCAGGTATTTCCCTGTCTCATGCTGATTGGTGGTTGCTTGTTAGAGTCTGTAAACAAGTCAAAATAACACCTGGCACTTTGCCAGGGGAATATTAGAGTTCATAAACAAGTCTGGATGGTGCCTGGCAAAATGCCAGAGGGAGTGGTTTGAGAAGTAACAAAAGTGAGCCATTAAGTGTGGAGATTCCTTATTGGTTGACTGCTGTATTGAGTTTATGTTAACTAGATAAGCTGTGTGGAATGTATAAATACTGCTCCTGTCCTGCAATAAAGGGCTTCCACTCCTGCTGTATCAATCTACACAAGTTGTTCGTCACCCCCCCACCCCCCCACCCCCGGTTATTTTGCCCAGCCAGCCAGGCTGTGGCAGTTGCTAGGGGGCTGCTATGGGCCCTCACCTAGCCTGACTGAGTCAGGGACAACTGGTGCTGCAGATCTCTCCTGTTATTTACAAACAACTCAGCAGGGTGGGTATGTGCCTAAGAGTGCTCTGTGGATTTTTCCTAGGGCAAGGGTCACGCCCCCTTCCTTGGACAGGCTTTGCTCTGAGGTAGAGGCTGGTTTCTCAAAAATGGAGTCACATCAATTTCTCAACTCTCTTCTTGGGTCTCTTCTCAGATACTAACTGATCAGACTTGCTATTCCCACTTAGGGAATAGACAGATGAGGATACTGGGAACATGAGGTTAAGAGAATAATTCCATAAAATGGGTCCACTGTGCTGTTCCCTGTCGCAACACATGAATAAATCAGTCAGGGTCACTCCAGGTGAATTGGGCTGGCAGTAAATAATCACACAAACACAAAAAGTACCTTTTTCTTGGGGTTCAGTGATGGCTCCTTTGCCCCAGCTCCCACAAGGGAGGCAAGAGAGGCAGGCAAAAGAGAGAGCATGCCTGAAGCCCTATTTATTTGGAGGAAAGACACTCAAGAAAGTTCAATCCAAATAAGGCAAGGGTTTGGGTTTCAGGGGGTTGCTTGGTGATGTCTGCAGTTAGCGGATTGACATCTGGAAAAGCCACACCCATCTCAGAACCAGGGAAAAGGACACATACATCACACAGCCCAGTCAGAGCAGCAATGTCAGCCGAGTCCCTTCATGTGCTCAAATGCTCATAGCTCACACACACAGCCCATGGCTGGTCTGCAACAGCTCCCCACATGCTTTCTTTTCCAAAAAGCAATTTGTCTGTAGTCCTGTCTGGCCTAAGTGGATAGGGTATGTCACATTCTTCAGCAAACTACCTGTTCACTGTAGGAGAAATGCAGGCCCCAAATAATATTGATAAGAGGAACCCAAGTTATCCTGAAGGGAAGACTTTTGTGACCAGATCCTGAAACTCGGGGAGATAAGAATAGTTTTTCCTAACCATAAAATCCATCAGAATATATGTTTCAGAATCCAATAAGAACCATTCAGCATGGGCCAAGGTGACCTAAAACTGCCATGACAGTGGATACTTGAAAGTCTGATGTCACCCTGATATCAGTCAAAAGTCAAGTGGACTTGGGTAGAACTCTCTGGAAACTTCTCTGGGATCCCCAATAAAATGTGCAGGAGAGGCATGTTGTCCCTCTCCTCTCTGAGAGGACCAACTCTGTCCCTTGGGAGTGTCCCTTTGTTTTCCTACCTCTTTAACAAACTCATTTCTGTTACTCCTGAAGTCTTTCTGACTTGATCGAACGAATCAGGGTTTGAAGAGGGGGTCTTCCTCAGTTTCTCAGAAGGCCCCAGCTCCATAACATCCATTCCATTTCATATTCTCTTTTACTTCATGGTACATATCACCCTTTGACTATTATACATTTCTTTGCTTATTTTCATTTATCCATCAACTGGAATGTAGTCCTATGGAGATAAACTTTTTTCTACTCTGTTTACTGCTGTATTCCTAACATGTCCTATGTCAGTATGAAAAGTGTTGTGGCTTTTCCCCCTCCTTTTCTCCCTTATTGTGGGAAATGATGTGCACAAATATTCTTAACAGAGTCTTAACCAAAGGTTAGTTTTGCTTTCACAACTGTAAGTATGAATTTTGGTGATGGGATTATATAATTGCATTGAGTCTCTCTCCCCCTCTTTCAAGATTAACTCTTTTTTGTTATCTTACCCATATTGTGTCCCCATACCTAAAAGTTGATCACTATCTTCTCCATATATAATTAGATTTTAACCCCAAATCCTGTGAGTCTCTCTTAAAATGAATTTATATTCCTACTCTGAGAGCTCAAACTATCCTTATAGCCTTTCCTCCTCACTCCCATGTCCTTGCTTTCACCAAAATTTTGAGGCTTTGGCAATCTGTCTTGTTACTCAGGAAAGCCACATAAGGCACAATCTAGGACTGGGGGTACAACCCCTGGAGCATGCTGGGGGTAGTGCCTTCAGTCCCTAGCAATGGAGGAAAAAAAAAAAAAAAAAAAAGCTAAGGCACAAGCAAAGGCAGGAAGTATTTCCTGGGGACTAAGCTTTGGAATTTTTTTGGTTTTTGTTTTTTCAGTAAAGGTATGTGGATTTTGCACAATAACTAGGAAATAAGTTATCTGTTTTTAGTTTGATGGGCAGAGAGGAAGTATATCATGCCTGAAGATAGATAACATTTGAGATTTTATGTAGATGCATAAGAAAAAAATGAGCAAAAGCAGGAGGATGGATATAGGCCACTGTTGCAGTATGTTTAACAGTTTTATACCTTTATTTCAGAACTTCATCTTTTGTTCTTATGTGGCTGCTTTTTAAGTGTACTTTAAAGTAAAAAAAAAAAAAAAAGACCTATGCTATATTGGGTGCTCTGAAAATGAAGCTAGCGGCAAGCCTGTAATGCCAGCAGCTGGACAGACTGAGGCAGGAGGATCACAAGTTCAAAGCCAACTTCAGCAAGTGAAACTATCTCTAAATAAAACTAAATAGGGCTGGGGATGTGGCTCAGTGGTTGAGTGCCCCGAATTAAATCCCCGGGACCCACCCCTCAAAAAAGGTATCCCAAAGTTCAAAAGTGATGGAGCGTCATCCAACTATTGCTGTATACCTTTACATCAGTTTCTGAACCAAGAAAAAATGACTATATCCTAGTACTGCCCCAGTGTAACTGCTTAAAAGCACTGCTTAACACCCTCCCCCTTTCCTCAAGTACACCAACATTGGTCTATGACCAGTAAGCATCAAAAACTATTCACGTTGGAAAAGGCATCTGTGTGTAAAACACGCACACACTATCAATTACGGTTCCACAGGGCCCTTCTACCTTTGTCGTGCAGGTGCAGGTGAATGGGGTAATGGTGTAAGCACCAGCGGAAAAACAGCTTCTTTCACAGAGAAGGTGGGGTGGCTCTGAAAAGAGCCTTTGGGAGCCAGCGCGTCCCCGGCGGGGACTCACTTGGAGCTGGTGTACTTGGTGACCGCCTTGGTGCCCTCGGACACGGCGTGCTTGGCCAGCTCCCCGGGCAGCAGCAGGCGCACGGCCGTCTGGATCTCCCGCGACGTGATGGTCGAGCGCTTGTTGTAGTGCGCCAGGCGGGACGCTTCGCCGGCGATGCGCTCGAAGATGTCGTTGACGAACGAGTTCATGATGCCCATGGCCTTGGACGAGATGCCGGTGTCGGGGTGGACCTGCTTCAGCACCTTGTACACGTAGATGGAGTAGCTCTCCTTGCGGCTGCGCTTGCGCTTCTTGCCGTCCTTCTTCTGGGCCTTGGTGACGGCTTTCTTGGAGCCCTTCTTGGGGGCCGGAGCGGACTTGGCCGGCTCGGGCATGGCGAGAAGCAAGAGGCAAGAAGCGCGGGCAGCTGGAGACCGGGAAGGCTATCGCTACAGGAGAAGCGCAGCGCGGGAGAAGCGCAGGGGCGCACCGGAAGCGACCGCGTACTTATAGCGGCGGTACGCAAATTAAGGTCGCGATGGCGCCACGCTGTGATTCGCGGGTTTTCGGCGGCGCGGAGGCGAGGGAGACGAGATTATGTAAATGAATGGATTCTGCCTGAGCTCTCCTATTGGTCATCGGGGCAAAACTGTGCTTTGGCCAATGAGAGCACACCATGGACAATCGCCGTTCTGCCTATAAAAGGGTGAAGCGGCGCCGTTTGCCGCGACTTTCCGGGTGGTCAGGCGGGAGGTGGTTGTGTTGACTGTCGCTGTCATGTCCGGCCGTGGCAAGCAGGGAGGCAAGGCCCGCGCCAAGGCCAAGTCGCGCTCTTCGCGCGCTGGCCTCCAGTTCCCGGTGGGCCGGGTGCACCGCCTGCTGCGCAAGGGCAACTACGCCGAGCGGGTGGGGGCCGGCGCGCCCGTCTACATGGCGGCGGTGCTCGAGTACCTGACCGCCGAGATCCTGGAGCTGGCTGGCAACGCGGCCCG